TGAATCATGTTACCCAAATCCTTGCCTGAATGGAGGGAAATGTATAAGCAGGGGTTCTCAAAGGACTTGCCAGTGTACGAGTCACTTCACAGGTAATTAATTCGTTTATTTATGAGTTAATCGAAAAGGATGTGGAAGGACGTGGTCATGGCCTAATTTAAGATACTTATTCCGGCATTTGTCTGGATGAACTTGAGGAGACTGTAGTAAAATTAAGTGTTTGCGCCATTCAGATGCTATGTAAAAGGGTTATTACAACATTATGGAAGAAATCTTCAGAACGCTGTCTTTTGTGCAGGGATGTTCTGTGCGCTGAATCTCTGCGAGATGCAACCCTGTGCATTTGGGCAATGCAAGCTTACTCCTACAAGTTATGCCTGTACCTGCCTGCCCAGTTACACTGGTACCAACTGTGAGCAGAAACTACGGCCTTGTGCGGAAAACCCGTGTGAAGGACGAGGGGAGTGTTTTGAGAAGGGGGATACTTTTCATTGCCGTTGCCACGCATGGTGGGAAGGTGAGAAGATGTGATCTAACCTCTTGTGAACATGATAATGATCCTTCGGGTTTCGTGAAAGAAGGGGCATTTCTTGATTACTTCTTCTTCTTCTTCTATGGCTCTCCGGTCCATGGCCTCCTCAGTTCTCCTCTGTCTGAGGCTTTGATCGAGGTTTCGAAACATCTTCCTTTTTACAGTGTAAGGTTGTTAGCCTTGCGACCAACCCCCAACCTGGAGGAGTGTAAAATCAGCTTTAGTCACTTGTAAATGTTGAAAATATGTTCTAATTATCATGGACCTCAAGGTGGAATGTGTTCATTTTCAGGCCAGCGGTGTGAAAGGAGAATGCTTCACATTCCTTTCAAGCCATTGTCAGAACGAATGCTTCAAGAACCATTCTGGTTAGGCCTTATTACAGTAACGGTGGTGCTGGGTGTGATCGGATTAGTGTGGTGTGCGAAAAGGCATTTCCCAGAGAAACTGGAGAAACTTCTCGCTGAGGAAGCGGACAGAAGTAGAACAGGTATTTATATCAAGTAGCACTAATGCTTAGTGTTTTGAATTTGTAGCGCGTTTCCCAACATTGATAAAGTAAAATAAATTAATGTGTGGGGGAGGGGGGAGAAGATATGATTTATTCACTGTTCAGCCACCTGACACGGTAACCCGAGAATCTTTCATCATTATCATACAAGATTTTTAAATATTGTGTAAACATTACTCTCTTCTGCCTACAGGATGCAGCTCACATTCTCGACCACCCTCTGTCCGCGAGCAGCTGGCTGCGGCAGGAGGGGCTACTGTGGTAGTGGTCCCCAGTCCTCAACCCGGGTGTCCACGCTCACTGTTTGGCCGCCTGGGTATTCGCAAACCCTCACTCCTCAGCCTCACCAGCCCACACGGCCACAGCAACCGCCAAACCGCTGCCTCAGCCACAGCAAGAACCTTTAGTTTGGATGATTTGCTTAAACCGCCACCAAGAAGTAAGGCCAGTCTTAGACCACTGGCATTGTTTTCCAAAAAGCAAAGAATTGAACAAAGGCATAAGCTCGCTGGCTGCCTCTGTGCTCCTGCTCGATATGTGTGGCTATGCCCCAATGCTGTGCACTTTGAAGCTGTTTAGCCCACCGCATCATGCTCTTTGTCTATTAACTTCTGTAGGCATGGTTTAGGTCACTGGGTGAGGAAGAGGCATGTAACCAGGATGCTGAGAGGATACTTCACAGATTATTTAAAGCCCCAGATTGGCTTCTAAATCAGTGGTCCCCAACGCAGTGCCCGCGGGCGCCATGGCTTTTTTTGGGTGCCCGCATTGATGCAGAAAGAGGTTATACTGAATAATGAAGGCTGTTCAACCACGAACTTTATAAAATCAAAGCGCAGATCTTGACTTACTGATGTCCATCTTGATGATTGTTTGCGAGCAGTAACATCATCCTACACTCCCAAATTTGAAAAACTGGCCGATGAAATGCAGCGCCAAACATCACACTAACTTCTCACTTGAGTAATAATAATTGTACTTTTAAAAGTATGTATTTTTGATTGCATGGTTTCTTGTATCATTAAACGTCGTGTTGTTTTGCGTATTATTTGGTGTCCATATCTTATTTGTCCAGAGAAAGAAAATTTGGCTTTGTTAATTGGTTGGTGCCCGCCACGATCTCATAAACTCTCAAATGTGCCTGTAGGCACAGAAAGGTTGGGGACCACTGAGTTAGATCATCTAGTCACAGCTGTAACTCATCAACACATAAACTGGCTAATTCTGCTTCGGCTTCAGACATGTATCTTCTTCTTTATTACGCCATCTCCCTTAGTTAGAAGGTCCCCCTCCTTCTGTTAAGGATAAAGTAAGAGTGAAGACGTTAGTGCGATAATTGGCAAAAAAGACGGAATTTTGTATTAGAGAAAGCTGAGACTATTAATTTGGAAGTTTAGTACATAATTTAGAAGTTCCTACTGAAGGGGTGGGGGGGTAAATTTTGATTAATTCAAATCAGGAGGGCTGCATGAGAAGCATGCAGTGGCAACTTGGAACTTGGGAACCATCTCAGCATTTGCTTGAAGACAGAGGAAAACCTGTGTCGAGATGGCAGGTCTCAGGACCTTCCGGATGCGCACTAACTACTAACCAGCGGTCTGGCAGACAAAAGAGAAATTTATACGACCCCTAGGTTTCCTTAACTTGTGCCATGGGTTTTATTGATAAAGTCAGGTACTTCTGGTGCAATAATACAACATAATATGATGAATGCAGGTCATCCATGTTTCCATGGTCTTCTTCAGCTGTTGGCTTTGAGGACTGGTCCATGGCTGGGGTTCCGCTTTAGCGTCCTCCGATGAACGGCTGGCTAAAATGAGTACAGTTTCGCCCAAAGTGGACTTTAGTTTGTTTAAATACTTGCAATTAGTAGGGTATGTGCAGGATCAGTCCCCTAGTAGGGCCCGCAGTCGCTGAAGTTTCATCTTAACATATGTTGCTGTATTGTGAACAAATTTGCTTGTTCTTATGGACTGTGACTTGAAAATATTTGCATATGCATAATTAGGTTCTATAATTCAGGCTTTTTACTAATTCTGAATTACCCTTTCTCCTCAGTCTGACTAATGAGGTTTTACTGTATTAAATCACTTCTGAGTTATATTAATGAAAAATAAAATGGAGTATTTCTGGATTAATTCAGATAAAATAAACTCTTTACTTACATATATAAAAGAAAGGAAAAAAGTTAATTTTTTTGTCATATGACTAGCCACCATCCTTTCAGTCAGGAACTCAAGGCTTAGTCATCTTTTGTGATTATTTGAGAAGAGGAGGAAGAGTGCGATGATCTGGGTTCAACTGCTTGAAAGCTGCACAGAACAAGCTTTTTTTACTTCTGATGTGTCTTTCTGTCCTGTCTCATCTTTGACGTGTGGTAGCAGTAGGAAACTGTGGCGTTGCCTCTCTTGCCTAACTGTCACTCTATATCCTTCCATATATGTAAATCTCCATGTCATGTCCTACCAGTCAGTGTGTCGGTGTTGTGTGTATTAGTGTGTGCTGGTAGGTTTGCACCGATTGCTTTAGGGTGCACAAAGATACTTTTATTCACAACAAACTGCAGTTATGATGGGGATTCCAGAACAGCAAAAACAAGGGATTTTGTTCATAAAAAAATGTTATAATCTGTTTGAATGTGGGGACTACCACAACTCCACGTGGTTAAGATTCAGAGTTGAAATTTATATTCTTTTGTTGGCCATCATTCTGAACAGACCCTTTTCTACGATCATCAGTTCACCTCGTTTATGCTGTTCAAAACTCGATTTCTTTGCCCCTCTCTGTAGGCAGAGGCCTGACCGTATTATAACTAAAGGTATTTTCATATACTCAAATTTTAGTAACTTTGGAACTATACCAATTAAAATTTTTATTTTATTTTCCATTCAAAACCAGAATTGATGGTTATAAATACTTTAATGTGTGGATCACATTATTTTCCTGTTATTAGAAAAGATAGGATCATGATAAAAGTTTTATATAATAATGTAATAAAAAGATAATTTATATACAAAATTTTAACTTATATTTGACAGAACACAACTCAAATACAGTACTGATTTCATAAAGAATTTCACATAAGTTCCATTGAATAAGAAGTATAGAAAAACTCTGCAGTTTCAAATTTTAACTCCTGAGGGATTATAAATCATTTTATAATTGTAATTTGTTGTGATATTTATATGGATCATAATGTATTTCACAAACAGGTATGACTCATAATAACCATTTTGTTTTCCCTAGTAAGCATACAGGAAGTATGGTATTTATAGTGTATTCTTGATTCTTTCTTTCATACTCTATACCCTTCTTTCTGGATGTTGTGGATTTTTGTTAACTCGTATATAAATATCAGTAGTACAGCTTCAAGTCCTGTGTTTGTCTTGTGATATGTAAAGAGAGCTTCGGACATCTTTTCTTATGAGTCAGATCTGTTTGAAATGGTAAATGTATCATATATAATAGACTCAGCTGCATAATTTTCAACATCTTAGATCTTGTGTAGACACCGAAACACGACAAGTTAACAAACATCTTAAATGTTTCACAGTATGAGCAATGAATTTGATTATGAATCCAAAAATATTTTCTGACTGTGTTTTTCTTTGTTGCTGTCATTATAAAGACATTTAGCCATGAAAAAAATAAATTCAGAAATTAATTTATAGAAATATTGGGTGTTGGTATTTGAGGATAATTAACACGTCATGAAAAAGTGTGTGATTAAAAAGAAAGTGGCATCGTAACTTAAATGTCAAAGACATGTCGTGTTTCAATACTAGAAAACTTCACAGTATTTTCACATTTTCTTGAAACGTAGTAAGAGGTACAAGAACTTGTTTTGCGTCGTTAGTATTTTGGTTTCCATCGCTAATTTTTTATACATGTGGAAACAGTGCAGCTGTCACTGACTCTTGAGTAGAAGTATCTTGATCTGTCAGTGGTGAGGAGAATAATTGCTGTAATGCTGATATAATTAAATATCTACCTGTGATAGTGTATAGTTGCGTTAAATATCTGTTGTAATTGGGGTCCGCAGTGGCCGCGCGGTCTGAGGCGTGGGCCTTGTACCGCTTGGTCGGTGGGACCGTGGGTTCGAATCCCACTCAAGCCATGAATGTTGTCCTGTGTACAGGTAGAGGCCTTGTGACGGGCCGATCCCTCGTCCAAGGAGTCCTACCTAATGTCTATAGATGGAGCCAACAAAAAAGTTGGGACCCGCAGTGCTCAGACACTTGAAGAACGGGTCGTTCCCAGTATCCAGTATCTGTTGTAATTACCCTGCCCATACAAGTATGCTATAAGAGTATCTTGTTAACAGACTCTCTTGCCACCCTCCCCCCTGCTTAAAATAGAGATGGTATATTGCATGCATTGAGCCTAACCTTCGCTAATTAAGACTGTAGTTGTAAAATGCAAGACCACGCAGCATCTTGGTATGAAAAGCACTGAACACCTAAAAGTTTAGCTGTCTGCTGAACTAAACTATTTTAAAAATCTGATAATTTTGACTTGTCTAAATAATCAGAGTAGTGTACATATAGATAAATAATGTGTTTTAAATAGGATGTTTAATGTGCACCAGTGCTTGTATGAGGATATAAAATGCTTTAAATTGCTGAATTAAAAATGAAACATTTTTAAAGACCATACACTACTGAGCCACTAATTGTGTATTTATGAAATACCAATGAACCAGGTTATGGTGGTACAGTACCCTCTCAAGTGTGTACAGCAGTGGACGGGAGGAATGCCATGGAAATTACAGAATAACATTATCTGCAGTTCTGCAGTACATTTTTATTAAACTAAAAATATTTAATAATGAATTTTTCATACATTTTGTAACAGGTATATCCAACTTATCTAATTAAAAACATAGAAAATTAAATGTTATTAATTAGTTCATTTAAAAGAAGTAAATAATGTCTGATCACATTGGCCATGTGGCACTACAGATTCAAATCCTACTTGAGACATGAATGTGTATCCATGTCTTTCTGCGTTGTGCTGTCCTGTGCAGGTACAGGCCTAGGGATTGTCTGAGCCCCTGCGCAAGGAGTCCTAATAAATATCAAGGAAAGTTCCAAAATCTGGCAGAAAATTTCTCCAGAGAAATCCAACACTCAACAACTAATAAAAATAATGCACTCGTAACTTTTGTCCTATGTTTCTCAGAGTAAAATGGCTCTTCAACGTCAAAAGACTACCAGAGTTATAATTTACTTACGTAGTGTTATAGAAAATGTTTCAACCACAGAAATGTGTGTATGATCAGTGTATTTTAAAATACTTATGCACTCAACTAAAAATTTAATTTTAAGCCAACATGTAAAAGTTCTTCAAAAATATTATTTATGGCTGTGGAACTAAAAAATATATTTGTTATGTATAAAGTGAAGCTTTTGCCGCGAACGAAGTCGATGAAAGACTCTCGGGCAACAAGAGTTTGCATTTTAAAAATTGTCCATTGTTTATAGAACTGGACTAAACATTCCATATACAAAACACTATAACCATAAAGTAAAACGTTAATATAAATGTGAGCATTCTACTGCAGGTACATATTATTAATAATTATTTTAATTACCAATGAACATTTAATAAAAATCACATACAGTATCTTACTTTCATTTTGGGCAGTGCTGTACAAATTCTATTTAGAAACACGTAGTTAGGGTCTAGCAAGAGCCTACCTTTTTAGTGCTACTAATTATCCTATCAAAATTCATTTCATTGTTGTTTTTGTTTTAGTTTCTAGAGGTCACTGGCAACATTTCTAGAAATATTTTCTCAGCAAAATACATCAAACATATTCTATAAAAAATGTTTCACTCTACTTCAGGGACTCCGTCTCCTCGTAAGAAACGCAATAACTCGACACCAACTAAGAAGAACATTTCCGAAAAAAAGCATATTCTCCAGAAACTAATCACGCCATCAGCAAATCAACAGAATCCACGGAAAGTGAGTTTGGGTGAACTGATCCAGTTGAGTGAACGGAAGATGAAGGAGGTTGATAAGGTAAAGGAGGGAGGAGCAGACGGAGAGGAGACAGAAACGACATTCAGCACGGCTATGTCTGACTCACAGTCAGCACCCTCTACTGTTGCTGTGTCCAGTGCTGATGCCAAGTTTGAGAAGAAGGTTACTTTCGCAAGGCTTCTTAGCAAAGTGTCTGCAGAAATGAGTTCTGGATCAGAGGTAATGTAATTTAATTGTTGCTGGCACTGACTGAGATAGAATTCTGTGTTTTAATTCCTCTTCTTACTGTATGTCCATTTGAAAGATCAAGTTTGAGAAAAATATCTCTATCCCATCTGCCCTTCAATTTCAACTCCGTAACTACCATCCTCTTCATTGTATGTCGAGTCGCACTTGATCCTTCCATCATGTTCCATTGTTCTTCTCTTTGGTCTCAATTTCATTGCGGTTCTCAGCATCTACTTCTTTTGAATTGAAACTATTTTTTATTTTTTAATTTCCTTCATTCTTTGTCTTTAGTAACTGTTCATGTGTTGACTGTGTCTGCCAGAGATTGTCTGACAGTAGAACCCAAAGATTCCCCACCACATGACAGAATCTTGAACTAATTGGATCCACCTCCAGTCTTGCCAGCAGCCCCCTAATACAGGGGTTTAAGTCCCCTCTTCCTGTATGATGAAAGTTACATAATTTTTATGTCATCACAGGTTGAAGCAAACCAAACTCGTCACCCACAGCTCTCCGGTCTACTTCGTTCAAATAGCACTCCACCTTCCCCGGCAGCTGATGCTCGATCTCCACACAGCACCAGCAGTAACCAAGGCAGTGATTCCATGTCAAGTCTGGATGCATCTCTTCAACTGGGTGGAGGTGCACAGACAGTAACGGAGCTGCTTATCAACCGCCGTCCTAACCGCTTGTTGCAGCAGACTGGAAGACCAGTCAAGAACCCGAGCGCTGATTCAATCTTGGCTATGTTCCGTAACTTCTCGTCTGCCACTTCGGTGTCGGCCATGCAGACGACTTCGCCATCCACCACTCCAACCGCATCCAGTCCGCAAGATGATGCTGCGGGATCTGACGAGTCCTCCACCTCATCTATCCCCACACCAATGTCATCATCCAGCTTCACACTGGATTCCCCTCCTTTGTCTTATGCCTTCCATCGTCATAACCAGAGTAACACAATAGAGGTCCCAGTGCTAGATGCCCTTAGTGCGCACAGAACTATAGGAGGAGGGAGCAATCTGCTTCAGCCTCCCACAATCTTGTTGGAAATACCAAGCAGTGGAATCAGCAAGTGTCTGTCACCTATTCGAGAAGTTCCAACTCCACTTGCAACACCATCCCCATCTCCCGCCCTTACACCCATCATGCCTCGAAGTGCTCCTCCATATTTGAGAAGCAGAAATGAGCAGATTATGTCTGTGGAAGCTGACTGTATAGCTAGTGAGCATGACATGCAGTTGCCTTATATCACCATTACAAACAGTGATGATGAGAATGAGGAGGATGAGAAAGTAGTTGCAACAGAGGTGACTGATGACGTTTCAAAGTGTGATTCATACCTAACTACTTATATGGCCCCTCATGAACATGATGAAACTAAAACACTACATTCCATCCAGTTACCACTTCCATTCAAGGTAAGCTTTACCTTCGATATATTTCAAAAATGGTTATATATATATATAAACACACACACACATGAAATTATAAGTTAAAAATTAAAGGATGTGTCGTAGTATATTTAAGGTGTAGCTAAACTCTGTTCAAACTAAGGGAAATGCTAGTCGTTGATTATTCAAAACTTTTCAATATCTGGAGAGATTCAATGGTGTTATGCATTTGATGGGATTGATATTATAATGGATTGAAAAATAAATTGTTTATTAAGGCGCTCTAATTTTCAGGTTTCCTCCCCTCCCATATGCAACAGTTTGGGGCCTGTGTTAGTGATGGATGGTAATGAGGCCTCTGCTGCTGCAGAAAACAGTGAGGAGTGTTCTGGTGGTGAGGCAGGCTGCTGTGAAAGTGAACCTATAAGCTCACAGCTAGTAATCCCACTGCTCACAATTGAGCAGCCATCACCTACGCATCACGTTCCGTCAATCCATCGTCCCGGTTCTCCACCACCTCAGCGACGCAGTCACATAGAACCAAGCTTCCTTTTCCCAGGAAAGGGTCCGCGTCGTCTGCTCAAGGAACTGGAAAAACCAAACTCGTTAGATTTACCGTGTCCCCCACCTCTCATTACCATTACCTGTAACATGAGTGAGGCTGAGTCAGATACAGAATCTATATCTCCAGCAACCAAGACTGGTGGAGTTCATCAAGGTGTTTCAGGGGGCAGTGTAGGCATGTGTTATCTCAGTCCATTCTCTATGTGTTCACGTGCTGACAGAACAGCATCAGAGTCTAATCTTAGTTCGTCAGGATATAGTTCCATGGCAAGCCCTGGACCGTCTCGGTGTGGCTCCAACAATCCGCTCTGTCCTTCAGAAGTGGAGGATCCTCCAGGTCCTGGCTCTGGCAGTGGTCCTGGCACCACAACCCTTCCTGGACACAGCCTTCTTCAGAGGAAACCCTCACCTCTACTCCACACTCCTGCCACCACGATCTGTCCCAGTGAATGTGAGGGGGAAGCTGAGAGGCCTCCTGACAACCACAGGCTGCAAGGAGGCCATTGTAGAGGCCGTTCAGATTCTGAAACGCTGTCTGATGACCTGTTCATGGAGTCCAATGATGAAGGGATAGGTACTGATCATCTGGATGAGAAGATAGATGAAGGGGAACTAAAAAGTGCAAAAGAATTAGAAGTGTTTATAGGTAAAGAGCTTCTGGAGAATGGTAAGACACTCCTTGGTTTACCGTTACTCTCGGCATCTCCTGTGACTAAGTGTGGCAGTGTTGACACTGGTCTGGACTGTTGTAAGCTGTTGGCCCCATCCTCGATACTCGGCAGCAAGTCTTCCTTACAGCTCCCAGCCATTGTCGTGCAAGCAGATCCAGGTGGTTGTGAAAAGCATCTGAGTCCAGTAAGCTCACGCAGTGAAAGTCCACTCAGTGATAAGACAGGTGGGCTGGGACGCTTCTCACCATTGTTTTATGGCCGACACAAGTCAGATCAGTTGCCTTTTACAGACTCAGATGGATTGTATGACTGCCCTAGTTCAGACTGCCCTCTCAACAGAATTCAAGGAAGCACAACAGTACAACAGCATCGCAAGTCAACAGGTCGGAGGAGAGAGCGGCGATCAACATCTCGTGGAGGTGGGGGTAATAAGACTCCAAGCCCCACTAAGATAACAACGTTTTTGGATGTCCCTGGGAAGGAACAATATCACCGCCCCACAGCTCCACGTAAACCGAGCCCAAAAAGATCAAGAACTCGTACTCAGCCACGTGTCAGTTCATCATCATCTTCAGAAAGTCTCAATTCAACCAGGCAAGATTAGTGTTTAATGATGACTCTTTTATTATAAGTGAATCATAATAAAGTTTTAGTATAACTAGGTACATGAGATTGATCACAGTATTCACAAAATATTTCTGCCCAGCATTTAGTGGAATTTAAAGAAGGAAGTTTAGTTTCTTGTTATTATCACCATTATAGTTCCTGTAATAGTTATCATCATTACTAATAGTAGTGAGGATGTGAACTCTCAAAATTGGTCACCAATTTATCTCCTTTTTAACATTGACATAACATGTGACATATGCCTGCATTTTATAGGGAACCATCTCTTCGTAATTCATCAGAGAAAACCATCAATCCTGACCGACTGTCTTGGCCTGGTGGACTCACAGGGCCAACAGAGTTAGAGTGGGAAAACGATGGTAAGGGACATCTGTCTGTTGAAGCATCTGGAGAGGATACAGGAGAGGTAAGTTACTACATAGTATGTATTTTCAGTGAATGTATAGTTGCATCCTTATGTCAAGACAGCCTTAATGTTTTAACACCTCTGCTAATTTTCATACCTAGTTAAGAAATATCTGAAAGGAATGTGATGGGATAAATGTATTGGGGATCAAGCCCTCCGTGCACTAACCCAAACCCGGAACTTTACCTAACCTGTCACAGAATGGCTTGTCTTTCATGAAACCCACAATCCAAACTATTTTCTGTGTTAAGTAGCTCTGGACTGTCACAGAAATCTCCAAATGCTTCATGTAGGTCAAATCCACATCGGCGACTGCAGGACTTTGAAGTCTCACCAACTTTTTAGTTTTTATTTATTTTCCAGTGATTGCAGACCTTCTGTAACACTGCTGTCATTACTTGGGTTTCTAGATGCGAGTGTTGGTGTGTGGTTGAGTCAGCACTGTCCATTGGTTAAACCAGGATGCTGATAACTTGCACCATTTGCTGCACTCTCATATCTCAGAATGACACATACAAAGAAGAGAAAGTAATTTTGATCAATATTTCATTGGTATTGCCATTTGAATGTAGTCAGCCAGCTAGAGTCCCTTCTGAAGATTAACAGACATGTGTTTTTATTAGGCATAATTAAAGCTTTGTACTTTGCGTAGGTAGTGAGCTTTCCACAGAAACTTGTAACAGTAGGAAAGTCACTAGAAAGCACTGTTCCTGTAGCTTCTAGCCTCAAATTTTATACTTTTTGCAATACCATCTTACTTCCATAGTGACAGCCTATTAGCTGAAGTGTGAGTCTTAGTATTGTCCCTAATGATGTAACTAACTTGTGCCATGGAGCATAGTGCTTCTTGAGAAGCTAACAGTTACCCATTTAGTCAAGAAATACCCTGCCTTTTATGGGACCCAGAAGTTCATTACCATGTTTACAAGAGTCCACCACTGATCTCTGTCCTGAACCAGATGACTCCAGTCCACACACTCCTTAAAAGCATTCTCCTGACTTGTATTGGTGTCTGTATATGTGTGTGCACTTAGCAACCTAAATAAACAAATATGGTGGTCTGAAGATGACATAAGCATGTTAAAACATGTAGCCACACAATATAGCTCTCAATAAAATGTTGTGTAATAAAAAACAAAAATTAATACTCAAGACTGTAAAGAAAATCTTTTTGTATGATACAATAGCCAAAGTGTGGCTCATAACTCACCTTCACCTAGTCCTAAGATATAGAATCTGTAGAAATTTACAGATTTTTACCTTCATGGGATGATATTTGTGCACAGTACCAACTTTGCCTTATTATTATCATAATTATCACTGTCATTATCACAGACTGCATCTGGGATACTGGGAACGGCCCGTTCTTCAAGTGCCTGAGCACTGCGGGTCCAAACTTTTCATTGGTTTGATCTGTAGACATTCGGTAGGAATCCTTGGACAAGGGATCGGCCCATCGCAAGGCCTCTACCTGTACACAGGACATCACAACACAGAAAAACACGGACAAACATCCATGGCTTGAGTGGGATTTGAACCCACGGTCCCAACGACCAAGCAGCACAAGGCCCACGCCTCAGACCGGGCGGCCACTGTGACCCCATTCACAGTCTGTATCTAATATTCTAATTTACAACCTCACAACCCATTTCTTCAAGATCCATTCCATTCTAATATTGTCTTGTGTGTTTTCCGAATAGTTGCACTCACCACCGACATTCTTATAGAGTTCTTTTTCCTCCATGCGAAGTATTTGTCCAGACCGTTATAAACTTAATTAATTAATGACAGATCATTATATAGTATTATTGTAATTGTCATTGTTTTTGTTGTTGTTTTATTTTCAGGAGGTAACAAGCCACATGCTGCCCAAGCTAATGCCACGTGAGGATCTGCCAAAACCTCATAGAAAAGTGAGCAGGTTGAGAACTATTGGACACCAAATAAGGTACTATCATTATTTTACAATGTTGCTACCACCTTTGCCTCCACCCCTTCTCCCCCCTCAGGGTGGAGTTACAGGAAAGGAAGAAGTCGATGGAAAAGGTGCAGGATGCAGACGTGAGAGACGAAGGAGAGCAGAGGGATGTGGTAGGGAGGAAGGGTTTAAACGTGAAATGAGAAGAGAGAGGGGTTGGAGGATATTGAGATAGAAGATGGAATGAGTAGCAGAATGTGATTTATAAAATCAAAGGGCAAGGGTTGATATCAAGCGTACATTAATATAGTTTTCATATCACAGGTTCTTACGACGCTTGGAGTTGAGTTTAAAACGACGTGAACGGTTAGTAAGTCCTTCTGACAGTTGTGGAGAAGATGATGATGCAGAAGGTTCTCCACTGTCACAGTCTCCCCTCCTGAGCCACCACCATCATCATCATGAGCGGGATCTGCACAAGAGTAACAGCTTCAGTCAACTGCAGCAACATGGGTCACGAAGTGGACGAAGCCATCAACGAGGCATTACGACGAAACAGAAGCATATTCATGGAGTAGAATTACTTTTACCACCTGAGGACAGGGCTTGGTGTCATGTCCATGTGACAGGATGCAGTGGCCACACTGACTGAAATATGTTAAGTAGCTTTATGAAAGAATGTCTTACTGAAATACCTGTGTAAGAAAGTAACTGAGTTCCTGAGTTTCAAAATCAGACATTTTTATTAAATTAATTAATTAAAAAAATTAAGTCCAGTATAATAAAGATTATATCTAATATGATGCAAGGCACATTCTTAGTAGAGGGTGTAGCAGACTTGGTATCTGACACAAGATAGACACCTGTTCAAAATGTATCAGACCTTAATTTTTACCATGGAAACAAATGAAGCACGGGAAGTGTCCTCCGGTTGGGGTGTAGGAGACCTTCAAGAGCATGCATGAATTTTCTCCTGCCCACAGAGCGCGTCAGTCACTGGCAGTCAGCCTGTGAGTGAGTGAGTGTAGTGAACGCCTGTCAGATTGACGTTTTTCATTATGGATTCTCAAAAGTCTGCACACAGGAGTTCAAGGAATTTACCATATAATATACCAGTTGAAATCTGAAGTATTAACTTCTAGCTTATCTTTTGGAATGTAATGTGTTTTGATTGGAAAAGAAATTACATACTTATAATACAAAATTTTAAATTTTGTGCATATGAAATATTTTATAACTCAAATGTGCATTACACATTTTGAAGCTCAGAAATTCAGATACATGATGAATGACTGTCAGAACATGTAATGCATAACTGGATGTACTGTTTCTGAAATGAGGGAATGTGGAACGTTGTTGGATTTGCCGTCCAGAGAAAACAGTTTTGTTAGCTGTGATTTGAGTTCTCGGAAAACATGTATATCTGATACAATTAATCTTCAGAAAAACAAAACTAAATCTCAACCAACGTATGTGCTACAGTTTTATCGCATGGTAATTTGCTTAGTTTGTAGCCTTCCTTATCGACTCAAATCCAGAACGATCATAATGCCGCCTTTCCAATAACACAATGAAAATATACTTGAACAATATAAATTACACAGTATTTCTGAAACCGGATCTGTTTTCATCCTCAGCTCTAGGGAATAGGGCCACCTACTGAGTTTGGCCCATTTGAAAGAGCTAACCTCAATCAATCACTGGCTAACTGATTGGGGTTAGCTCTTTCAAATGGACCAAACTCAGTAGGTGTACACCTGAGGAAAATACATCCAGTTTTCAAAATCTTGCTTGTCTTTTAGAATACCAAGCGATGGATAAAGTTCAGAAACTCGGTAATCCAGATTGTAATGCACCATTGTCAGGAACCCTTAGAATCAAAATCATGCGAAAACGTGGATGATCGTAATCGTCATAAATGGAAATCTGATCTTTAATTTTACTTCATAGTCCTCCTGTTAAATTAAGTCTTATCTTCACCTTCCATGAGGTGACTAAGCAGTGCATTGTCATAACCTTGGTCTTATGTTAGACACTTCATCTCTGACCCTACACTTTGCTCTCAAATTCATAGTAATGCTAGTTTTACTTGGAATATAAAACCTTACAATGCAACTGTAAATAAAAGACTGTCTTAATAGAACTTATCAAACATAATTCACATTAGCTTAAAGTATAATGTGATATGACATCTGAATATTTAGGAAGTGGTATTATTACATGGCTGGAAATCTGTACTTGAACTGCAAGCCCTGGTGGTTCTAAAAAAGTTCATGTTGTATATATAGATGTATTTTCACCAGTAATGCCTTTCTACAAGGGCCCTAAATTATTATTTGTAAGTTTTCTTTTCTTTGTACTACCTTGAACACATATGCTGGAGAAACCTGGATGCATTTTGACACTGGAAATGGGACTATTTGCTGGCTGCAAAGTGTATTTCTATTTCCTCATTTAAGATTCTCTCTGTATTACTTCACTCCATCTGTGCCATTCAGGTGAGTGTATTAAATTATAGCCATCTCAGTGGCCGCGCGGTCTGAGGCGTGGGCCTTGTGCTGTTTGGTCACTGGGATCGTGGGTTCGAATCCCACTCACGCCATGGATGTTTGTCCACGTTTTTCTGCGTTGTGCTGTCCTGTGTTCAGGTAGAGGCCTTGCGATGGGCCGATCCCTTGTTCAAGGAGTCCTACCAAAATGTCTATAGATCAAAGCCAATGAAAAAGTTGGGACCCGCAGTGCTCAGGCACTTGAAAGTAAAGTATTAAATTATAAATACTAATTACTTATCTACAGAAGTAATGGTGTTGCTGGAAATTATAGCATACAGGTATGCAAATCAAAATAATATTTATTTTTTGTAAGACCTAGGTTCGAGAATCCTGCAATGCACAGACGTATAGGTCTCACAATATGTTACAATTTTTAGTTTTTATTTATTTCTCATAATCTAGCAAAAGCTGAAAAGTACAAAGCATTAAGAAAAAGGAAGAAGATATATATATATATATTTTGTCTTGTCTGTGAAATATGAATGTCCAGGAAACTGTCACTTAATTATTTATCAGGCTTTGTAACCGAACTGCAATACTTTCTTGTGTTGGAATATCTATTCAGATTTTATAATTATCCATTGTGTATAAAAGCATTATGAATATTGTCAAATCCTAGATTCTTTTACTTTCTGAGAAAAACTATTCAATTGCTATAATTTGTAGCCTCCTAATAATTGCTTTTAAGATGCTTTACTTCATGCTACAGAGACCTGTATTCAATGCATGGCAGCCCATGTCCAATTTGTGATAGAGAAAACTAACACTGAGGCCATTCTTCTCGCATTACCTTGTTTCATTTCGCCAATGCTCCGGGTGTATGACAGTCTCGACCAGCCAGAATCTAAACATGACTGTGAGGTCCTGAGTTGAGGCCTCGTGGTTCTAACACAAGTAAGGAAATTCAATTTAGTTTTAAAATGTGGTTGCAATGTCGGGCACTACCAAGTTAACAAACATTTTGAATTAAATGCCACTGACAATAAAAATAGTGTGCATAGATTTTAAGCAACAAGAGACCAACCACATAAAGTGTAAATTTTTTAAGAAAAAAGAAATTTTTACATTGTCTGATGGTGTGTATACAGTAAGAACTTTTTTTGAGGGTGTGGGAGATGTTATGTTTGAAATTTATACAGATGAGAAAGAAAAAGACAGTGGGATAGTAATGACTAGACCAGATTGCAGATCAAGCTTGGGACCAAATGTGTAGGTTCAAATTTTAGGAAGGGACCTCAGGAATATTGGCCATCAGCCTACCAGGAAGGTGCCACCCTTTCCTCTCAAAAAAGTGGTCATTTTCTTCCCTTCAGATTGTCCTATAGAATCATTCTCTTCCATATGTCGCAGTCATCGTGTGTGACTGCTAAGAAGTGTGGAAAAGTAAATGATACTTATTGCATTTTGTTTCTGTCAATTATTTAATTACTTTTGTTGTTCAATTTCTCACCACAAATAAATTTTATATGCCACTCACATTTTCTGCTGTGATCTTGAGACTTTCCTAATTTTGTTACTTTTTACTCTGTACTTATGTATGTCAGTTCACTTGAAAATGCCACTGATTTTTGATTTTAAGTGTACTGGCATAAGTGATATGCCATAACTTGGTATTAGACATCTAAGTTTGAATGAAATTTAAGGTTTTATACATACATTTATTTCAAGTATAGAATTACTGCCATGTCTACTTCCTATAATATCTTAGCACATATTCTCTTGGCCTGGAAATGTTGAAGACTTTGAGAGTCATTACAGAGACTGGCAGATGGAATTAAAGTAACCGTAAAAATTTAAATATGGACGACTGTTGCTATGTTGCTTGTGTCTGGTTCCAAGTGGAACACACATAATGTTTACAGTATTTATCATGTTGCTTCATCTGTTATATTTATTGTAATGAGATTTTAAATATCAACACAATGTTGTCCTAACATTTGTCAGTTCTGATACAAAAAGTCTTAAAGCAATACTTGATTGTTAAGTACCAAGTAGCCATGGTCTATCGGTACGTAATATTTAACCCAACTGCGGTAACTGTACGCAGGGTTGCTTTGAGACCAAGGCAGGAAATAACAGTAAAACTGAACAAAACTTCCTTTACCAATATCTACAATAAATACGGGTATAACCAGATAAAGAAATGTTGATGGCCATAAACCATAAAAAGAAAATTATTTTCAATAAATGGAAATGAGTAACCAAAATGGAGACACTCTTTGTTTTCCCATGTATGAACAATCAAAGCAGGTGTTCCTGTATAAAAGGTCTGTGATAAAAGCACAACACGGGGGACTTACATGTGACATGTTTATGGTCATTTGAGCCATTGTTGCATACCATTCTTCTAAGGACTGCCATTAACATACTGCTTTGTCTCAACTGCAAAATGACCATCATGGTAATGCCTGTTACTGACTGAACTAGCATCATTACATTGGACATCATCATGTCAAGCTCTGTATAACTGATGATGTGAGGAGTGTACCGTGCGATGGCTTTAAAAATAATTCTTCTTATGCAGCAATACTTCCGTGTTAAAATAATGTCATTTTTGAGATTTTTTGTAAACTATAACTGATCAAAAATATAAAAATATGTTAAGCACACATTTTTTCTGGGTATTTAATAGCCTCATTCTCTTGTGATGCACATTATTATATATTAATAATTGTTATAAATCACTCGGTGGTGAAAATTCTTTTTCCTGTTGCATAACAAACTGTTAAATGTATACGTTTTTATATGTGTTGTTTTGCGCTAAAGAAAGTGTTCCATAATCCAATCTGATATTGTTTGCTTGTTACAAAATGAGGAAAAGAAATATTTATCTTATTCTGAAATCTTTTGATCTTTCCTGTGGTTTTATATAAAATACATGTATGGAAGTTAATATCGTATGTCTTAGTATCACTTAACAACACCCAGCTACTAACCACATCCTGATTTTATATCCACAAGTTTGTTTTAAGTTCTCCTCAGTATAACATTTCTAATAAGATATTAAGGCATGATTAGAGACATGCAGTCAAGGTATAGACTGAGAGAAAGCCTTTGTACTTTAGATCTATGGATTGATATCCAGTGCAGATTTTTCTTGCTATCACTTCCAGCACAACTTGGAAAATCAGGACCAGACCTCTGATATTATATAGCAACCACTTCAAGCCCAGACATGTGTCATGTGAACTGAAAAAACAACATAGACGTTACAGATTTACACTGATAACAAATAGTAAACTCATGGTTAGAAACCAGGATACTGACTTCTATGCACATAACAGAATGAGCTCAATTTACAGACCAATAAAATACACTGATCACTTTGCCTTGGGCACAAAATATAAAAACACGAAAACATTTTGAAGACTTGTTTATTTGATAACAGTACAATATATTAAAGAAAAGAGGAAACCATCAGAAACAAAGTTTGTTATTTTTAAATTTTTCACACTTCAAAACATAAACCATTCTACTGCAACTAGTCGCTTTGGTTCACAGCAGTTCATCCGGTGTCCTTCCGGTACCGTTACATAACCTCACTTTCTATTCATCCGCGGATCCTAACCTGTTGGTGCAAAGTCCACAACGAACAAAACAAAATATGACAGTACGAAATACATACGCAATCACTGACATGAGCTCAATTTTTCTTGTACAAGTTAAATCACAGATAAAGTCTAGATCTGAAGAGGAGATATCAAATGCACATCACAACAGAGCTGTAAGAGCGTAACCTGTCGGTATAAACGAAACCTACATACAACAGGAAACGCGCGCAAATGGCGCCGACGTAGTAAATCCCTCCAAACTAAACAAAAGATTTGGTCCAAGTAGCCGGCCATTCAATTCCACGCACTGCTTCCCCATGCGACCAATATCAAGACCCTAATTTATTAGGGACTTTAACCATGTTGACATACATGTCTGATTTCTAGAGTGAATTATTTAATTTAATATTTCTTGAAGTAAAAAATATTACTTAATGATAGTTCTGAATTAGAATATTTAGTTTTATTCGTTATATTTCGGGGTTAATGTTCACGTATACAAATGTCCGTTCTAACCAATAGGAAATGTGTTCCAGGGGGGTCGGCGTATTGATGTCATAAAGCGCACGCTCTAGACAAGATAGATATTACTTTCTTGAAGAACGAAATATTTTGAATTTAAAGTCATTGGTTATGAATCGTATATGTGTACCATAAACAATCTGCCAATTCATATGGCATTTAATTATGTGATGATATTATAACTTTTAAATGAAAACTTGTATTTGTGAAATGTATGTAATGTGTTTGAGTAGTGATACAGGCCTTGGCCGGTCGTTCCTTGTGGTAGATCGTTTGTTCGAGGGTTCCGTAAGCATTTACGTCGTATTCCGCCATTGTTTGGGAACATTTTTCAACAGAATGATTGGAATGTCGGATTTTTATAGCTGTGTATGAAATGAAATGGTTACCGGGTAAGCCTGTGGTGTTTCACGTTGTCGTGTAACGTTTGATGGATTTTCATGATTACGCATCAGGCTAAGGTCTATTGTGATATTTTGTCCTCCCGTTTGCGGTGTCGCCACATACGTATCATAGGCTCGGGCTTTGTCACGTGGGTGTTGGTGTTTGCGGGTGCTGAGGGAGGGGGAAGCACGATGGGGGTGCCGCATAATTATGGTGTAAACTGTGCTTATATGTTGAAATCGAATGAGAATTACATGTAGTAATTAAACATGGATTGTAATTCAGTGTTAACGCTGAGGCCACGCTATTTTGTTTGCAGGAAATGCGTATTGGCACCTTTGCTTTATCTTTGGAGTGAAATACGAAATTGGAAAGAATGGAACCTGCTGGAGATTGAAGAGATACGGGGTATTAATTATGTACTCATGAGCTACGTTTTATTTCTTACGTACATCAACAATTTAGTACAAGATAAAGTGCATGGCAGTGGTTGGGCAGAGTGATATTTTTCACTGCAGTATCGAACCGAATTGCTAATCATAATACTGCAGTGAAAGACGAGGGAAAGGTTTTTGAAGTGTGATTTGTGTGTTTGATTATGTTTGTTATTTTAAGATGCCGAAATTCAGTGAAAACAAAACTGGCGCACTTTACATTTAATACCCATTCCTGAATATGATATCAAAGATTTTGTTTGTTATGCTGCTGTTGAAATAAACCCATGGATGAATGGGATTGAGATTTGCCTCGTTGAGGCATCCCAATGTGGTTGTCATGGCACCAGCTTTGACAGAAGCTGGTCAGTCTCAGAACTTCAAATTACCTGCATCTTCACATTCCTTGCCAGCATCTCCAGTAGGTGTTTCTTTAAGTGGATTAAATAACATTTCACAGTTGCTGTCTAATGGGCATTTGTTATGTAAAGATGGGCACATTAGTTTTGTAACAAAATTAAGTGGACATAAAAAACTGGAACGGCAGTTGAATCTTATTGCAAAGGATTTAATCAAGGAAATCCAAACGGAATCAGGTACCTTTGCATGTGACAATTTGACTACCCTAGCTATAGCATCTGCAAGGCGAAGTGAGATTTTGCAGTCTGCAGGTGGTAAATCAGGAGCCTCCAAAAGTGCTTCTGTCAAGGAAGGTGGATTTATGATGAATAATTGTGACCCATCTATGGGGGACCAGGAAGATAACATGGGTTTACAGAAATCAAATGCACCAGTGCCATCTGGAAATTTGTTGAAGGAGAAAAGCCTTTCTAGTGATATGGATCAACTTTTCAAGAATTTGGGTGCAGCAATTTCCAGTAGTGACTTGGGTGGTAGTGGAGATCTGGGACAGAATGTGGAAGAGCTGCTTCAGGTTATAAAAAGCATGGAATCTAATGCTACAGAACCAGATGTCCCATTACATGGGGAATCTGTGAGCATAGATCCTAGTGAAGGCGGTGAACCAGAAGGTATGTTTACAATATCAGACGGTACTGATATTGCTAGTGGATTATCAACATTCGAACGGGAACTGTTAAATGATGTTGACATGATGAACATGTGTGTTGATGTCAATCTCAGTGAAAATCCTCTGGTAATAGAAAACAAGGAGGCTCTTACAAAGGAGCGAATAGAGGAAGCACACAAGAAGCAGTTTGAGATGGAACGTAAGTGTGAGCGGCTTCTGAGAAGACTGAGGAAGCTACAGGCTAGGACGATGGGGAAACACATTAGTGAAGAAGTGACAGGATTGTTGGAAAATGCTCATAGGATGTTGAAGCAAAGTGCATCTCAAAAAGAACAACAAACTGTTTGTCTGGGGTCAAATGTTGGTGCTGTTGGTGTTACTGTGCAAAGTGAAGAAGCAAGTGTTACAAACACTGAAGTTTCTCGGAAGGAGAAGAAAGTGAAAGGTATTTCTACGTATGCGATGGCCAATCTTTTTAGGCGATTGGATATGTTATCACAGCAGCAGGCAGCTGTGTCTACACGACACCAGTCGTTACAGAGGTACTTTGGATCTGGTTCTGCAGATCATGCTCCACTAGCAGCTTCCAGTAATGGACCTCGTGTTCTGCCAAAGTTTACTGCAGATGTCAAGAGTGAACTGGAGAAGGTCGCTGGTCAACTTCACACTCAACTCAAAATGGTAGAAGATTGTGTCGACTCTGATGCAACTGCTAGCAGTTCTGGAGGAGAGAGTTGTGATGAGATGCAGTCATTCAACAACCACCACCAATTGCATGTGAGCATGTAAGTTGAAATAATATCTTGTAACTTCCATACTGTATGTTAGAAGTAATGTAGCACTATTTGTGCAAGTAGAGGGTGTTTCGTCTCGTACATGTGTCTGCTGTTTTGGCAGTATGTTTTCATTCAGTTAGCATTTATGCTTTTCATATTGTCAGTTGTTATCGCTACGTACTGGATGTATTTAACAATATCCTTGTCTTACAACAATCTTTTACTATTTTTGTACTAGCCGTATGTATTAGACAATATGTGCTCAACCTGCTAGAGGTCGTGCGAGTAGTGGTTGCCTGGCATCTCGTTTTTACTTAACTAGCCAGAATGAGTTTAGGGATAAATTTCATGATTTTCCAGTGTCAAATAAGTTGACAGTATCTCGTCTGATGAACTGTTTCCATGACACAGTAAGCTTTGAAGGACATAAACAATTCTGTTACATCAAACATGAGGAAACAAGCGAATACATGCGTTTCTGAACATGGTGGACATTTCAAATACTTAATATAACATCGTTTTCTTCTCATTTAAAAGTAATTTAGTTTTTGATGACTAGAACAAGTGTCTGGAATGAGTTGTGTGACTTTTCAGATTCCTTGTTTTTTATCAGTATTTAATGTGTTTTAAAACATTTTATCATCTTCTCAAAGGAAGTGAATACAAGTGGAAGAGTGTTTTATGATTCGCTTACCTACATTAGCCTACACATACAAGGAAGCAGAGAGCAGTGCGTTTATTAACAGGTGATTTAAAACAGCATTCGATCGAAAGTGCCGTGAGGGTTATATCCCACCATTAGAGATATTGTATTGGACTGCCGAAAATATGTGATACTTCATCTTGAACAGAGTACATCGGATAATTCTTGACCCTTCAGGCCAGTATTTAAATATACACTGATCTAACACTTAGGCAGTGTTCCTCCAAAACTGCATTATGGATAAAATATGTAAAGCAACGTGTCACTGGTCTTATTCGACTGATTCAATGAAAATACGTTACAGGGGCAGGCAGTGTTTAGTAGATGGTATTATTGTTTTTAATTGGAAATGTAAAGAAGATTTTGAGCAAGGAAACCCAAATGCACTGCCTTTGGTTGTGTGTCCTTGTCCGAGAGTTTGGTTATCTTGCCGTTTTAACAGCAGAGGACATTCAGGTTTTCTTATCGCAGATCTTTCCTGTGTTGTAATCCTATAGTATGTGTGAAGGTGAAGTAATGTCGGGCCGCGATGAAGAATATTAACACGTGCCTGCATTTTTGCTCTTGTGGTTCGTGAAATGCATTGGTTTTGTTACACTCTTCAGATATTTTACGTTGCATCTTGTCTTGAATCTTGTATAATGTAAAGGGCATTGACTCAGGTTAGACTTCTCGTACACTAGACTCTCTCCTGAGATCGTCTCTGCAAAGAGTTGTGTGTGTGGCCACCGAGAACCAAAGTGATAGAGCATACATCATCTGTAACTAATGAAATATGCAAGAAACAAACAAAGAGCATCTGTATGAATCTAAAGACTTCATTTCCTATTTGGCACAGAATATGCTGATACCCTTTGTATTTCCACTGATATTGATGGATTATCAAAATAACCATTGATCTAAACTCAGCGAAAACATATTTAGAGAGTGAAACGTAATTATGTGTATTACGTTCCCAAAATATCTTCCATCTTAAAACCCAGATGGGACAGACTCAATAAAAATGAAGATGGCTGTGTAAGACTTGAGGTTCTCATAGCGGTGAGTATAAACCCAGCACCTCACACCCTATTGGCATATTCATCGCCCTGATGACGGAGGCAGTATGACCTCTGAAACGTTGGTTAACATCGACTAGACTACACAGCGCAATAACCCAGAAGACGGATATCTTCATGAAGATGGCTGTCTTCTGAGTTGTAGTATCGTGTAGTCTGGTAGAAGTTTACTGACCCATCACCCTGATGATGGAGTCAGGAAGGACCTCTGAAATGCTGGTAAACTTTTTTACCAGAGTAAATGGTCCTGCGACCCAGAAGACGGCCATCTTCGTACTAACGAAAACCTAAAATTTTACTGAATAAGAATGGTATTGTAGATTTGTGGTACATTAAGTTGATATTTGTGGTATCAGTATGAAATTTTTATTTTTCGTGAAGAGCGGGACCCCAAATATATTCCAGTCAGTTATTTCCTTTGTCTTTTCGCCACAGTATTTTTATGCAGTCAAGCTGTCTGAATGCAACAACCTCATGGTTTTCCCTGGTATGTAGTGCCCTCTCATTCCTTGTAGCACTTGGCAGACATTTTATTCTTGGCATTACGGTCCTGTTTGGTGTTCGCCAAGTTTTAGGAGTTGGAGTAGCAGTTCATACACAGTGTGAAACTACTTAGTGTAATTGATGTTGCATGTAGATGGTTCCAGCTGATCTGTTGAAGTAATGCTCGATATTCTGAAATATTGTTCAGCAGCGTCGTACCCTGTTTACAAAATCAGTTCTTAAGTATTTTATTGCCGGGCACACCAACTGTATGTCCCACCTAGCTTTGTAATCAGTGGGTACCATACACGTGTATGGCATGATGCTTAATGAAGCCCTGGGGACAGCTTTGCCTTACCTTCTTGCACTTACAGAGAACAGTGTTTCTCAAGCAATGGTTTGTCTTAATTGGCGAAGTGTTGTAATTTCTTTTGAGGTGTATGTTGATCAGATTCCCATGCAGTGAATGTGTGTGTATGTGGTCAAAAGAAACCTTTAATTTGTAATAGTTTCGGTCTTAAGTTCAAGGATATCTGTTGCCTTCGCAAAAGTTTAATACAATAAGATTTTTTTTAACCAAGATGGAGCAGCACGTCTAATGTGTCATTAAGATTTACATCTGTTGGGGCAGATGTATCTTGGTCGCGGTACAATACGCAGTACTGAGTCAGAATTTCGCTACTGAGTGTAACGTAAAGATGCGTTGTAGTGAAAGAAATGGTGTTGAAAAGCCCATTTTCTTTTCCGAATGACTGGCGTCGTCATAGTTTCTTTGAATTTTCTTAAACAGATGCTCAGAATGCCTGTTTTGGAAGTTGCTTTTGCGGAAGACGTTTGGTAGACGTTGGTCGAGATTGATTAGCGAGGCCACTTTAAAAAATGCATTTTACGTGATTTAAGTTATTATAATTTGAAAAAAAAATTCCCTTTAACGAACTGACTCGGTTGATTGATGCAAGTCTTCACTTTTGCAGCTGTAGTTATTGCGTTAACGACGTATTTGAATAGTGATAATGTGGCGGAACGGTACGCAGTCAGTCTGCCGACAACAGAAGCGTTTTACGTAAGGAATTTAAAAATTTTCATGAGATAGTATAGTTGCGTCATATTGTGATATTAATTAAAATAATTATTATATTTGTTTACCGTCAAATCACAATAAAATAGTAAATCGAATGCTCGATATGGAACATAAGATGATATTTTAATCATTTTAATTATCTTATCTTACTATTTTATTGTGATTTGACGGTAAACAAATATAATAATTATTTTAAAAATTTTCATTTACTCTTCACAAGCTTTTATCGAAAACTTAGCCAACTCCTTCTCGATTGTTGTGTTGCTCGCATTGAAAAGTGCATGTTTTAGATCAAACACGACAACAATAAAAGGAGAAAAGGTAATTCCGTTTAATGCATCTGCGTGTACGAAGGACATGAGCCCTTGGGCCGTCGCCTGCCCCCACTACTCGCAGTGGCGCCTGACCTTTTATTTAGTAAATAGTATTTTGCTTAATATTTAATGTGATTCGCTGAGTATATTCTGTAGTAGAATAAAAGAAAAGTTTACGTAGTACATATTTCCGCTTTAACCAGTGGCGGGTCATTGGCCTTAAAAGAGGGGTAATTGTTGCAATACGCAGTGTACAGTTGTTTGAAAACTTCAGTCTGTAACCGATAAAAACACATTGTTGATAGCTCGGTGGTTGGCCGTTTTAGTTTAGGGGGATTCTAGACCTGAGTCTATGTTATTAATGAAGCAAGTAGGGAATTGTTGGACTTATTCCTTATCAAATTGCGAATCGGAGATGCGTGGAAACACAAATCGTCTTTGGTATCAGCGCATGCGCGAAAAGTTAAAATTTACAAAACGATGATATATCTCTTGGTTTGTATCATTGTGAAAGTTGGCCTCTCACGTTGAGAGAAGAACACAGATTGAGGGCATCGAGAATAATTGGACCAAAGAGGGATAAGGCTAGAAAAAAATTGGTTAGCCCTTTAAAGGCTGGCGGTAATTATATGTACCATCAGCTTGAACAATCAGTAACACTTCGTCTTGTATATATGGATTTTGTATGATTATCGTTGTAAACAGCGATTAATTCTTCAAAGGCATTTACAAATTGTTTGTAATGGTGAAGATTTGTTTTCTTTGCGGTACGCACTGAATTATTAAATGCTATTTAGACGAACTTCGGTTTTATAAGGTAATGAACGTCATAAATTACTCTCGTTACCATGTATCACAGTAATGATCAAATCAAGGTTGATTACATGTGTGGGGCATGGGGAAAGTGAAAAATGTGTTCACAGTTTTGGTTTCAAATCCTGAAAGGAAGAAAAGGACTACCCTGACGCCGTAGATGGAAGGATGATATTGAAATGGGTTGTGAAGAAATAGAGTGGGGCGATATGGACAGGATTGAGCTGGCTCATGACGGGGACCGATAATGAACGTCGGGTTCCATAAAAGCGGGGAATTGACTACCTGGGCGACTGTCAGGTTCCCAAGAAGGCTTTTCAAATGGTACCTGAAATTGTGGTTTGTTGGTGTGTATACAAACGCACCTTCCCGTCAAAACTAATGGGTTTCGTGGTATTAGATATTTTATTATTTATATACTCGGAGACCAGACATCCTGGCTGATGTTTTCGTGGTTTTCCTCAGTCCTCGAAGCAGATTCCAGAGTAATATCTTAAATTAGGCTGCGACCGCTTCCTTCCACTTCCTTTCCAATTCATTACCCACTGTCATCCGAC